GGTGATGAACTTAAAGAGATGAGTGTGCTCACGAAATTCTCCGAAGCGTGCTTTGAACGACTGTAGGAGACTGGATGTGAAGCCAGCTAGCTGGTGGAGATCAAAGTTTTGAGTGGGCTCACTTGCTGTGCATGCATCTTTAAATTGTCTCAGTTTTTCAAAATGTAGTAAACGACCCGTTTCAAGATCCATGATAAAGAGCTCCAGCTTGTTTTCAAAAGCAAACACGGCGTGTTGAAGGGATAACACTGTATTTCCAATGCCTTGCATTTTCACGTTGAGCTGGTTCAGATGTTCAGTCATATCCACGAGATAGTAAAACTTGAGGAGCCACTCAGTTTCGGCTAGCTCAGGATGCTCGATGCCTTTCATTTCAAGGAAATTCCGGATTTCGTTCAGGCAAGCCGCAAAACGGCTGAGCACCTTCCCTCGTGACAACCAACGCACATTGCTGTGCAAAAGCAGACCGTGGTAGTTATTTCCAACTTCATCCAGCAGTGTTTTAAACTGGCGATCATTTAAGGCTCGGGCAACAATAAAGTTGATCACACGAATGACCAGCGACATCACTTCGCCAAGCTGACCGTCACACATCTGAGCACAAAGTGCCTCCTGGTGTAGAATGCAATGGAAACTTAGGATGGGTCTATTTTCATGTTCACGGAGAAGCGCCACAAATCCTTTGTTTTTCCCCACCATACACGGAGCACCATCAGTACACACTGAGAGAAGTTTATCCATAGGTAGATTTTTTTCACGAGCGAACTCCATGAAAGACTTGAATAAATCCTCACCTCTTGTGGACCCTTTTATTGGCAGAACAGCAAGACTTTCTTCGCGCAGTGTGTCACCAGCAGCATATCTTGCAATCACACTGAACTGCGCCAAATGACTTACGTCTGTTGACTCATCCAAAGCCAGGGAAAAGAACGGCGCTGCATTTATGTCCTTCACTTGCGTTTCCTCCACTTGGTTTGCCATCATGATGGTACGATCATGAACAGTTCTTGCCGACAGAGGCATGTCTTGTATCCGTTTGATTATCTTATCTTTGTTCGGAAGATCATCAAAAAGTTCATTGGCTACATCCAGCATCAACGTTTTAGCATACTCGCCATCTGTGAATGGTTTTCCGTTCCTTACTATTGCTAAAGATCCAGCAAAACTAGCGGAATTATAGTCGCCTTGCCGGGTCCATACGCGGAGTTGCTGCTGGCTAGCTTGCACCCTGCTCAGCAGCTCTTGGCACGCTTTCTTCCTGCTGTCTCCCGCAGGGTATTTTGATGCAAAGGTAGCATGGCGTGTGTCGAAGTGCCGCTTTACATTCCACCGTTTCATCGATGCAATTTTGTCATTGCAGATTAGGCACACCGCAGAACCTGCTCTCTCTACAAAGGCGAATTCTTCAGTCCATTCATCCTGAAATGTACGATACTCATCATCTTTTTTTCTTTTCGCCATCTTCTTCGTTGAAGGGTTAGCTTTGAGCTAATGACCGAGCAGACTGATTCAAAAGGGGGCGTTTACCTGTTTACCCAGAGAAACATGGGAATTGTAGTTTTGCAAGGCCTCAGGAAACTCAATGCTATGAAACATGGGAGTTATAGTTTTGCAAGGCCTCAGGAAACACAATACAACAAAGATGGGAACTGTAGTTTTGCAAGGCCTCAGGAAATTCAATCCTATAAACATGGGAATGGTGTCTAATTCCCTTTTTTCCCTTTCAGACTACATTTCCCGGCATCCCTTAGCCTGGAGGGCTATCGCGGGGCATGCTGGGAGCTGTAGTCAGGGCGAGAAGGGAGGCGGAAACGGCCTCGGTGCGGTGCAGTTCCCCCGGCGGCCCGAGGGGCCAGAGCTTCGCTTCTCGGGCGCCGTAGCTGAAGAAAGGCCCCTCTCGCTCTCCCCTCTTCCCCGCTTTCCCTGCTCCGGGCCCGGCGAGGCCGCTACGCGAGGCCGGGGATCGGCGGAGGCGACTAGGCCGCAACGGGTCAAGGTGGGCTTTCGGTGGGGAAAAGATTCCCCGTTGCTTCCCTTCTCCCTTCCTTCCCTCCTCCCTTCCTTCGGGGCCTAATCAGCCAAAGGCGGGCTCAGTTCCTTTCCAAGGGAATACACGGGCGAGCCAGATGCACTCATCAAAAGAGCCACACCTGGCTCGCGAGCCATAGGTTCCCGACCCCTGCTCTAGTGGGAGAAACAGGGAAGAGTCTGTGACCGTTAGAGTTACAGGGAAGACTGAAATCATTGCCCGGCTTTCCTCACAAATTTGGTGGCAGTAATATTACGCTCCTTCACACGGCGTATTTCTCAGAAGCTTTTAGAGATGTCTACCAAGGGAAGTTGGAGAGGCATTCCTGTCCTTTCCCACTTTTCCTGGTTTCCAAAGGACAACAGGAAATGCTTCAAAATGTGGAAGAGAGAGCCAAACAAAGGGCGGCCTTTATGAGTTCAAGGCACTGTTTTGGAAAAAAATCAGCAAAAGTACGACCTGCCATGATAAGACCAAAGAAGCAGACATCCAAAACATAAAACAAAACAAGCGCAATTAGGAAGAGGGGGAGGAAATTAATTTTAAAGAGCTGGCTCAAAAATGAAGCAAGAATGCCCAGTTGTGCAAGCCATTAACCGACGGAGAGAGAAAATTACTCGTTCCCTTCTTTCTTCTGCCAAGGACATTTTCAAGGAAATTTAATTATTTTTCCAAAGGGCTCCAATGGGACATTCAGGAGGTGTTGCTAAATCTTAATGAACTTCTTCTGGTCCAAGAATGTCCTCTTGCGGCAAAGCTGGATTGCTTGCTCGCTTGCCATTCTCCTCCTTCCAAGAGAGAGGGGACCATTCATAGAATCCTAGAGTGGGAAGAGACCTCCTGGGCCATCATCCAGTCCAACCCCCTTCTGCCAAGAAGCAGGAATATTGCATTCAAATCACCCCTGACAGATGGCCATCCAGCCTCTGTTTAAAAGCTTCCAAAGAAGGAGCCTCCACCACACTCCGGGGCAGAGAGTTCCACTGCTGAACAGGCTATGACACCTCATGAGCACTGCAGTCATAGAATCATAGAATCAAAGAGTTGGAAGAGACCTCATGGGCACAGTCCAACCCCCTGCCAAGAAGCAGGAATATTGCATTCAAATCACCCCTGACAGATGGCCATCCAGCCTCTGTTTAAAGCTTCCAAAGAAGGAGCCTCCACCACACTCCGGGGCAGAGAGTTCCACTGCTGAACGGCTCTCACAGTCAGGAAGTTATAGAATCATTGAATCCTAGAATCCTAGAGTTGGAAGAGACCTCCTGGGCCATCATCCAGTCCAACCCCATTCTACCAAGAAGCAGGAATATTGCATTCAAAGCACCCCCGACAGATGGCCATCTAGCCTCTGCTTAATAATAATAATAATAATAGTAATAGAATCCTAGAGTAGGGAGACCTCCGTAGAATCCTAGAATCAAAGAGTTGGAAGAGACCTCCTGGGCCTTCATCCAGTCCAACCCCATTCTAACAAGAAGCAGGAACATTGCATTCAAATCACTCCTGACAGATGGCCATCCAGCCTCTGTTCTTAATAATAATAATAATAATAATAATAATAATAGAATCCTAGAGTTGGAAGAGACCTCCTGGGCCATCATCCAGTCCAACCCCATTCTGCCAAGAAGCAGGAATATTGCATTCAAAGCACCCCTGACAGATGGCCATCCAGCCTCTGCTTAATAATAATAATAATAATAATAATAATAATAATAATAATAATAGAATCGTAGAGTGGGAAGAGACCTCCTGGGCCATCATCCAGTCCAACCCCATTCTGCCAAGAAGCAGGAATATTGCATTCAAATCACCCCTGGCAGATGTCCATCCAGCCTCTGTTTAAAAGCTTCCAAAGAACGAGCCTCCCCCACACTCCCTCCGGGGCAGAGAGTTCCACTGCTGAACGGCTCTCACAGTCAGGGCTCAGAGGATGCTTGCAGGTCCCAAACCGTTTAGGGCTTTGTAGGTGATGACCTGTACCTTGAATTGGGACCGGAAAATAAATGGCAGCCAGTGGAGCTCCTTAAACATGGGAGTCGAACGCTCCCTATAACTAGCCACAGTTATTCATCTGGCTGCCGAGCATTGGACAAGTTGTAGTTTCTGGGCCGTCTTCAAGGGTAGTCCCATGTAGAGTGCATTACAGTAGTCCAGTCTAGAGGTAACTAAGGCCCAAGTTCTCCTTCCTTTTCCCTTTCTTTTCCTTTCCCCACAATAGCTCTTTTGACTTGGAACTCCCGGCAGGACCTCTCTGTCCTCTTCCCCAAGGGCTGCCCCAGCCAAGCTTCTCGATAATTTATTTATTATTTATTTATTTAGAACTTTTATATACCGGTCTTCTCGACCTCCGCAGAGGGACTCAGCAGTTCACAACAAAAGATTAATACACAATACTTTAAAACATCACATTCCATAATACACTGAAACATTAAAATACAATCATATAATTACATAAGGCCAAGTCGTCAGAATGAAGTCACAATTCATCGCCATCCGTCCGTGTGGTCAGAAGTTATTGACTCACTCATCAAATGATAAATCCCAGAGCCAAGTTTTCACCAGTTTTCTAAAAGTCAGGAGAGAAGGGGCAGTTCTAATCTCCAGTGGGAGAGAGTTCCAGAGCTGAGGGGCCACCACCAAGAAGGCCCTGTCTCTCGTCCCCACCAGACGTGATTGCGAAGGTGGTGGGACCGAGAGCAGGGCCCCTCCAGAAGATCTTCACAACCTTGGTGGTTCATAGAGGAGAATCCGTTCGGACAGGTAAACTGGGCCGGAGTCATTTAGGGATTTATAGTTTAACACCAGCACTTTGAATTGTGCTTGGAAGCTAATTGGCAGCCAGTGGAGCTGACACAGCAGAGGAGTAGTATGCTCCCTGTACCCCGTCCCTGTTAGTAATCTGGCTGCCGCTCGTTGGACTAATTACAGCTTCTGGGCAGTCTTCATAGGCAACTCCATGTAGAGAGCGTTGCAGTAGTCTATACGGGATGTAACCAGAGCGTTGACCACCGTGGCCAAGTCAGACTTCCCAAGGTACGGGCGTAGCTGGCACACAAGTTTTAGTTGTGCAAAAGCTCCCCTGGTCACCGTTGAAACCTGAGGTTCCAGGCTCAGCGGTGAATCCAGGATCACTCCCAAGCTGCGAACCTGCGTCTTCAGGGGGAGTGGGACCCCGTCCAACACAGGCTGTAACCCTATGCCCTGTTCGGACGTACGACTGACCAGTAGGACCTCTGTCTTGTCTGGATTCAATTTCAATTTGTTCGCCCTCATCCAGACCGTTACAGCGGCCAAGCACTGGTTCAGGACCTGGACAGCCTCCTTAGTCGCAGGTGGGAAGGAGTGACAGAGTTGGACATCATCCGCGTACAGATGACATCGCACCCCAAAACTCCGGATGATCTCCCCCAGTGGCTTCATGTAGATGTTGAACAACGTAAAGGACAGTACTGAGCCCTGCGGGACCCTACGGTACAATGGCCGTGGGGTCGAGCAGGAGTCCCCTAGCAACACCTTCTGGGAGCGACCCTCGAGGAAGAACTGGAGTACCCCCAAGGCCCATTCCCACAAGGCGCCCCAGAAGGATACCGTGGTCGACGGTATCGAAGGCCGAAGAGAGGTCCAGCAGAACCAACAGGGACACACTCCTCTTGTCCAGTTCCCGGTGAAGAACATCCACTAAGGCGACCAAGGCTGTCTCCGTACCATGTCCCGGCCTAACGCCAGCCTGCGCCAGATCCAGATAATCCGTGTCTACCAAGAAATCCTGGAGTTGTGAGGCCACCATATGTTATTAACACCTAATTTTGAGTCTCCCGGCTCCTGGATCCCAAAGGAAAAGCGGAAAGGGCTTCTTACCAGCGAGGAGACTGGTCGAGCAGCTGCGGCGGCAAGGCTGGTGGCTCCATAGCCGGCGCTCAAGCTGCCCATGGGCCCGTTGTGGGCGGCTCCCAGCAGACTCTGGATGTCGGCGACGTGGGCCCCGGCCAAGCTGGTGGAAGGCCCCACCGCGTGGTTCCGCAGAACATTGATGGCGTCGTCCAGGCGGTCCAAGCGGTCTTCCATCCGCGACTGCTGCAGGGAGAGGGCAAGGGGTCACCGATATCGCAACCAAGGAGTATCTCCATGAGCTGGCATGCTTTCTATGGGGAAGGCGCAGGATGTGGGGAACGAAACGCTGGGCAAGGAGGAAAGGCCTGGCTTGGGAGATGGCCAGGTGACACACATCATTTGGTATTTGGGGATTCAGCTTTGGAGGACAATAATAAAAATAGCAGTCCAGATTGGATTGAAAAGGGAAGACCGGATGCATGGTTCCCCTGAAGAGTTTGGAAGAATAGGGGCTCTCCAGTCAGCCAATGCGTGCAAGACTGAAAAGGGAAGTCACAACATGCAACAAAACCAGTGCACACCTCAATCCCTCCCTCCACCCCACAGCTACAGCCTCCCCCCCACCAAACCCCAAAGGTAGGACATGATGTCTGCTTGGAAAGGGCTTTGGAATTGGATTCAAGAGGCATGAGATACCGGACTTTCTCTAAGGCAGCGTTTCTCAACCTGGGGGTCGCGACCCCTGGAGGGGTCGTGCGGGGGTGTCAGAGGGGTTGCCAAAGACACAGTATTTTCTGCTGGTCATGGGGGTTCTGTGTGGGAAGTTTGGTCCAATTTTAACCTTGGTGGGGTTCAGAATGCTCTTTGATTGTAGGTGAACTATAAATCCCAGCAATTACAACTCCCAAATGTCAAGGTCTATTTTCCCCCAAACTCCACCAGTGTTCACATTTGGGTACGTTGAGTATTCACGTTTGGTCCAGATTCATCATTATTTGAGTTCACAGTGCTCTCTACATCAGTGTTTCTCAACTTGGGGGTCGGGACCCCTGGTGGGGGGGTCGCAAGGGGGTGTTAGACGGGTCGCCAAAGACCATCAGAAAACACAGTATTTTCTTTTAGTCATGGGGGTTCTGTGGGAATTTTGGTCCAATGTTATCATTGGTGGAGTTCAGAATGACCTTTGATTGTAGGTGAACTATAAATCCCAGCAATTACAACTCCCAAATGTCAAGGTCTATTTCCCCCCAAACTCCACCAGTGTTCACATTTGGGTACATTGAGTATTCATGCCAACTTTGGTCCAGATCCATCATTGTTTGAGTCCACAGTGCTCTCTGGATGTAGGTGAACTACAACTCCCAAACTCAAGGTCAGTGCCCACCAAACCCTTCCAGTATTTTCTGTTGGTCATGGGAGTTCTGTGTGCCAAGTTTGGTTCAATTCCATCGTTGGTGGAGTTCGGAATGTCCTTTGATTGTAGGTGAACTATAAATCCCAGTAAATACAAATCCCAAATATTAAGGTCTATTTCCCCCCAAACTCCACCAGTGTTCACATTTGGGCATATGGAATATTAGTGCCAAGTTTGGTCCAGATCCATCATTGCTTGAGTCCACAGTGCTCTCTGGATGTAGGTGAACTACAACTCCAAAACTCATTTTGCTGCTGTTACGAATAGTAATATAAATATCTGATATGCAAGATGTATTTTCATACCCTGGACCAAATTTGGCACAAAGACCCAATACACCCAAATTTAAATACTGGTGGGATTGGGGGAGGGTATTGATTTTGTCCTGTGGGAGTTGTAGTTGCTGGGATTTATAGTTAACCCACAATCAAAGAACATTCTGAACTCCACCAACAATAGAATGGAACCAAACTTGACACAGAGAACTCCCATGACCTTGACACAGAGAACTCCCATGACCATGAAAATACTGATAGGGTTTAGTGGGCACTGACCTTGAGTTTGGGAGTTGTAGTTCACCTACATCCAGAGAGCACTGTGGACTCAAACAATGAGGGACCTGGACCAAACCTGACACGGATACTCAATATGCCCAAATGTAAACACTGGTGGAGTTTGGGGGAAAACAGACGTTGACATTTGGGAGTTGTAGTTGCTGAGATTTATAGTTCACCTACAATCAGAAAGCATTCTGAACCCCACTGTAGCGAATTTGTTGAGCTATGTTAAATTTTTGATGTATAGCTCTATGTTGCAATGTGGCAGAATTGGCAGAAATAGGGTGGCAACAGTAGAGGCAAGATTAATTTGCATACATGTAGCCGATTGGTCGTATGCAGATGAGTGTAGGCCAGGATTTGAAAGGGCCACTGAGCCAGAATGGCAGTTGGGGAGAAAAGAGCTGAACATTCCAAAGGGGCGGAGTTAAGTTTAAAAATAGGCAGTTAAAGAGTCAAAAAGTTTGAGTTAGGGATTCCTGTTTGTGAAGGACAGTTAGGAAAATCTGTGAGAGAAAAGCAGTTAGGAAAATGGAGCTTAAGTTTTAAGGAAAATAAAGAAGTGCCAGTGTGGTTTAAGACGGAAAATAGTCCTGTCAAGAATGTATGAAAAAGCTACATATTTGTTGATGTGAAACAGTTGAAATTTGATAAGAAAAGTTAACTAAGTGAAAGATATTGAATGTAAGACTCAAGAGCGTAACAGAACACACAAATGTAACCATAAGCGTTGGAACCAGAAGCTATAAATAATAGGCTTGTTTGATCAAGAAAAAATTTGGTTCTAAACTCGCTTCGTTTCCAGGGGGCGCCAGCGTTTTGAATTTCTGAGGACTTCCGAAATTTAAGATTTCAAAATTTCGAAATTTACGAAATTTTGTTAATTATGAATTGATTCGTTAATGGCGGACGCGATTGCGCAATGCGCTAAAACACCTCCAAACGGGACAGGGGGAACTTCTGAAATTCAGGATGAAATTAAAATATATTAAGTTAGTAAAAATACAAATTAAAATCACTTAAAATTAATAAAATAATAAAATAATAAAATAATAAAATAAAATAATAAAATAAGTAATAAGACAATAAAATAAAATAATAAAATAAGTAATAGGAGGAGGAGGAGGAGGAGGAGGATGGGGAGGAAAGGCAACGCTGGCACCTTTTCTCTCCTTCTTTCCCGTCTTAATAATTACGAAATAATTATGAAATAATTACGAAAATTTGGAAAAATTGTTTCGATTCTTAATTACTCTTCACACTATTCCTGCATGGCTCGATATTGGATCGTAAGCTAATTTAAATACGAATTAATAACGACTTTAGAAACTAACGAACACGATCAAACAAGCCTAATAAATAAACTTTGTTACTTGGTTTACTACAAGAGTGTCTCAAGCCTGTAATATAAAAGCTTCAAGGAAAAACCTCACAAGAAAGCCCCAGCCAATTTAAAAAGGGGAAAATACATCAATACAAGGCAGTAAATAGATTTAAAAGAAAATATTTCCCCCCCCCCCACATTGTCACACAATAAAAGACACCTGAAAAAGGACTGAAGTAGTGAAATGTCCGCCTACCCACCAATGATAGAATTGGGCCAAACTTCCCACACAGAACCCACATGACCAACAGAAAATATTGTATATTCTGACAGTCTTCGGCGACCCCTCTGACCCCCCCTCGCGACCCCCCCAGGTTGAGAAACACTGGACTAAGGTGTGCCATAAAGTGCATAGGGCTAATTTAAAGAAGAAATCTGTAAGTAGAGTTAACAGGGTGGAAATATATTTATAGATACATATTGATACCAAAGCAGCATCTGAAAGAGAAATAGTACCTCACAGACATCCTTTAAGAAGGACATAGCATCTTGCAAATGCTCGTGAAGTTGCTGCTCAACGCGGTTTTTCTGGCAAAGTCAAGACAGAACAGGAAGCAAAGCACAGGTTAAGAAAAGTATAAAGAGAGGCGCGATTCAGCCACGATGGTTAGTCAAGTTAAACCCACAAAGCCGGGATTGGGCGGAAGCGGGGGGGGGGGGAGCCTTAGGCGCCCCAAATGACAGGAACCGCAAACGGCCCGGTTTGCACAGGCTGCAGCACCCACTCGCAAAACGGGTGGCAAGGACCGGATTCCCTTTTCTTGCTTATTAGACCCATAGGAAAAACATTGGAGAACATTGGGTTGTTGTAGGTTTTTTCGGGCTGTATGACCATAGTCTAGAGGCATTCTCTCCTGACGTTTCGCCTGCATCTATGGCAAGCATCCTCAGAGGTAGTGAGGTCTGTTGGAACTAGGAAAAAGGGTTTATATATCTGTGGAAAGACCAGGGTGGGGCAAAGGACTCTTGTCTGCTGGAGCTAGGTGTGAATGTTTCAACAAAAGTTTGTCAGAGAGTAATGAAGAAGAAGATACCTATTTTCGACTTAAGTTTTACAGATACTCAATGGAATATGAATGAGGACAATAGTGAGGTCTGTTGAAACTAGGAAAATGGGTTTATATATCTCTGGAATGACCAGGGTGGGACTCTTGTCTGTTGGAGCTAGGTGTGAATGTTTCAACTGACCACCTTGATTAGCATTTGATGGCCTGGCAGTGCCTGGGGCAATCTTTTGTTGAGAGGTGATTAGATGTCCCTGATTGGGTTGTTGTAGGTTTTTTTCAAAATATATGGCCATGGTCTAGAGGCATTATCTCCTGACGTTTCGCCTGCATCTTTGGCAAGCATCCTCAGAGGTAGTGAGCTCTGTTGGAAGTAGAAACATGGGTTTATATATCTGTGGAATGACCAGGGTGGGACAAAGGACTCTTGTCTGCTGGAGCTAGGGGTGAATGTTTCAACTGACCACCTTGATTACCATTTGATGGCCTGACAGTGCCTGGGGAAATCTTTTGTTGAGAGGTGATTATGTCCTTTTTTGTTTCCTCTCTGTTGTTGTGCTGTTGTAATTTTAGAGTTTTTTAATACTGGTAGCCAGATTTGTTCATTTCCATGGTCTCCTCCTTTCTGTTGAAATTGTCCACATGCTTCTTGTGGATTTCAGTGGCTTCTCTGTGTCGTCTGACATGGTGGTTGTGAGAGTGGTCCAGCATTTCTGTGTTCTCAAATAACATGCTGTGTCCAGGTTGGTTCATCTGGCTCCCAGTATTAAAAAACTCTAAAATTAGAATAGCACAATAACAGAGAGGAAACAAACAAGGACTTCTAATCACCTCTCAACAAAAGTTTGCTCCAGGCACTGCCAGGCAATCAAATGCTAATCAAGGTGGTCAGTTGAAACATTCACACCTAGCTCCAGCAGACAAGAGTCCTTTGTCCCACCCTGGTCATTCCACAGATATATAAACCTTTTTTCCTAGTTCCAATAGACCTCACTACCTCTGAGGATGCTTGCCATAGATGCAGGCGAAACGTCAGGAGAGAATGCCTCTAGAACTGCAGACTCCTTCAACCAGAGAAGTCAGCCATAGCAGAGCACTTGATAAACCAACCTGGACACAGAATATTATTTGAGAACACAGAAATGCTGGACCACTCTCACAACCACCATGTCAGGCTACACAGAGAAGCCATTGAAATCCACAAGAAGCAGGTGGACAACGTCAACAGAAAGGAGGAAACCATGAAAATGAACAAAGTCTGGCTACCAGTATTTAAAAAACTTTAAATTTCAACAGCACAACAACAGAGAGGAAACAAACAAGGACATCTAATCGCCTCTCAACAAAAGATTCCCCCAGGCACAGTCAGGCCATTGTAGGCTAATCAAGGTGGTCAGTTGAAACATTCCCACCTAGCTCCAGCAGACAAGAGTCCTTTGTCCCACCCTGGTCATTCCACAGATATATAAACCCATTTTCCTAGTTCCAACAGACCTCACTACCTCTGAGGATGCTTACCATAGATGCAGGAGAAACGTCAGGAGAGAATGCCTCTAGAACATGGCCATATAGCCCGAAAAAAACTACAACAACCCAGTGATTCCAGCCATGAAAGCCTTTTTTGATTACAGAGGGAAAACAATCAGGGACATCTAATCACCTCTCAACAAAAGATTGCTCCAGGCACTGCCAGGATATCAAATGCTAATCAAGGTGGTCAGTTGAAACATTCACACCTAGCTCCAGCAGACAAGAGTCTTTGTCCCACCCTGGTCATTCCACAGATATATAAACCCTTTTTCCTACTTCCAACAGACCTCACTACCTCTGAGGATGCTTGCCATAGATGCAGGCGAAACGTCAGGAGAGAATGCCTTTAGACCATGGCCATATAGCCCGAAAAAACCTACAACAACCCAGTGATTCCGGCCATGAAAGCCTTCGACAGATGCCTCAGGTGGGAGTGCGTCACAAAAAAGGTCCCCAAATGTCAACCCCAAATATCACACACCAGCTGCATTTAGTGTTCTTTTTTTCCCAGTGTGGAAGGAGCTTGATGCCCAGATCAGAGATGGCGGAAAGCCCACCCGTTGCCGGTATTGAAGGCAGGAATCCCTTGGCAGGGCAGCCCCTCCCCTCTGCTTGAGGGACCATCGAGGTGGGGGGGGGGGTCCCTAAGAGACGCAAGGAGACCCTTTATGCCAAGAAGCCCTTCTTACCAAGGAGTGCAGGGAGTTCTCATAGCTGGGCGAGGAAGGGGCCTGTCCTCCGGCCCGGGACCACTGGCTGGCACCTGCCAAAAGCAAGGCGGTTACAACACAGAGGCAGGAAGCATCCTTCTGAATTGGTCACAACAGAGGCACTGCCTGCCAGGACCAACCAGGCTGCTTCTTATCCCATCGGGAAGCGTCTATGCTTGGCTTTCCACATTTCTTGATAATAATAATAATAATAATAATAATAATAATAATAATAATAATACTGTTCTACAAATTTTCAGTTTTTCTCAGTTACGGAAACGAAATGTGCCGTTTCTTAATAAATTTAACATGCTGAATTCAAATATAATAATTAAATGTGTTAATTGGCTCTGGTTTTTATGCAACAGCTATTTCAATTTTCTCCACAATAGGTAATTCGTTAATATTATGATAATGCGCCTAATTTTATTTATTTATTTGGGGTTCTTTTACCCCGCCTTTCTTCTCACCCCGAAGGGGACTCAGGGCGGCTTACAAAAGCAAGGCACAATTTGATGCCTGCATCATAAAAACAATCAAACACAAAATTACATCAATACACAGTTAACACCAAATATACATTATAACCATAAAATCAATAAAATCAATAAAACCAAATACAAACCCAATTTCTCCTCTTACATGGTCAGCGTTCGCTACTCATAGATCTAGTTTTACGTTCCACTTCATCAATCCTGCTGGTCTTACTCGCCTGGTTGTCTGATTTAATTGCCGGAGTGCCCAAAGGCCTGGTCCCATAACCACGTCTTCACCCTCCTCCTAAAGGCGAGGAGGGATGATGATGCCCTGATTTCCCCCGGGAGTGAGTTCCACAGGTGAGGAGCCACCACTGAGAAAGCCCTGCTCCTCGTCCCCACCAGCCTCACTTGTGACAGTGGTGGGGTCGAGAGCAGGGCCTCCCCAGATGATCTCAGACCGGGGTGGGACGTAGAGGGAGATACGTTCGGACAGATACACTGGACCGGAACCGTACAGGGTTTTGTAGGTCAAAACCAGCACCTTGAATTGTGCTCGGAACTGAATCGGCAGCCAGTGGAGCTGACATAACAGGGGGGTGGTATGCTCCCTGTATGAAGCTCCGGTGAGCAATCTGGCTGCCTCCCGCTGGACTAGTTGAAGTTTCCGAACAGTCTTCAAGGGCAACCCCACGTAGAGTGCGTTGCAGTAGTCTATTCGGGATGTAACAAGAGCGTGGACCACCGTGGCCAGATCAGACTTCCCAAGGTACGGGCGCAACTGGTGCACAAGTTTTAATTGTGCAAAAGCTCTCCCGGCCACCGCCGAGACCTGGGGTTCCAGGCTCAGCGATGAGTCCAGGATCACTCCCAAGCTGCGAACCTGCGTCTTCAGGGGGAGTATAACCCCGTCCAGCACTGGCTGTAACCCTATGCCCTGTTTGGTCTTATGACTGACCAGGAGAACCTCTGTCTTGTCTGGATTAAGTTTCAATTTGTTTGCTCTCATCCACCTTACTGCATGTATATAAACCGTGAATATTTACTAAATTTTAGTCAAATTATATTGCCAATAGTTTATACATGAGAAATATTTATTTAATTAGTCTATTGTTTATGTTTGTGCAGCAAGAAACTCTATTAGTAGGCCTAATGCAGTTGAAAAGTCTGAAAGTGTAAATGTCGCTTGAATCGTGACTTGAGTTTCTATCCTGTTTGCTTCTCTTGACTTTCCTTTTGTATTCAAGGGAAGGATTCCCTCTTGCAATGCTCCAGCAGGAGTCTGACAGCATGGACGGAGTCCATTGGCCTTGATCTCTTTTTTCCATAGTGCGAGGAGGCATCACTACAGTCAAAAGAACCATGTCAAACGATGTTTAACATCGATACTGTCTCCGTCTTCAACTGACTGACCCTCACCGTTCAAAAGTCTGGCCTTATAGAGGGCTTTCTGGCTTTTGCACACGGCACTCATACTGCGTCATCAAACTTTCTAGAATATTCTAGAATCTTCCATAGTGTAAGTCGCAACATGCATTTTTTCAACCATATGTGATCACGTGATTGCTTATATCATAAAAACTAGAGCCAATATACATTTTTAAATGTCATTTTCGTTTTCAGCACCCCAAAATCATAAAAGAACAACTATTTTCAGGCCTCAGGCCTGAAACGTTTTCTCCGTTGAACAGTGTAATTTCTGTGAACGAACCCACACGACCCCTTTGATCGTCTGGAGAGGCCCTGCTTGCGCTCCCGCCTCCATCGCAGGCGCGACTGGTGCGGACCGCTGTTGACACCCCAAGTTCTCAGGGAAAAGGAAGGGGGTCCTACCTGCGAGGGGCGAGGGGGATCCAACCGGCGTGGAGGGATTGGAAGGAAAGCTACTGCTGGTGTGGTCAGGAGAATAAATCTACAGGGCAAAAAGAGAAGGGAAACGTCAGCAAGCGCATTGAGACTCCAGGCTATTTATTTCATCTATTTATTTATTTAAAACTTTGATATCTTCTCAACCTCCGTAGAGGGACTCGGGCCAACTAACGGAAAGGATTCAATGCTAATAGTACAATCTAAAAACATCATATAATAACAAGTTAAAATACATATCGATTAAAATGTTGTGAAACTGCAAGTCGCTTCCGGTGTGAGAGAATTGGCCGTCCGCAAGGATGTTGCCCATGGGAAGTTGCCCGGAGATTTTTTTAAATTTATTTTTATTGTGCATTTTTTCTGATTACATAGACAATGAAAAAGAAGAAGACAAAAACATACGGTGATGTACATAAAAGAGATTTTGATGTTTTTATCGTCCTTGTGGGAGGCTTCTCTCATGTCGTAGAATCATAGGATCCTAGAGTTGGAAGAGACCTCCTGGGCCATCGTCCAGTCCAACCTCATTCTGCCAAGAAGCAGGAATGTTGCATTCAAATCACCCCTGACAGATGGCCATCCAGCCTCTGTTTCAAAACTCTTCCAAAGAAGGAGCCTCCACCACACCCTGGGGCAGAGAGTTACACTGCTGAACGGCTCTCATAGTCAGGAAGTCCTTAAAATCATAGAATCCAAGAGTTGGGAGAGACCTCCTGGGCCATCATCCAGTCCAACCCCATTCTGCCAAGAAGCAGGAATGTTGCATTCAAATCACCCCTGACAGATGGCCATCCAGCCTCTGTTTAAAAGCTTCCAAAGAAGGAGCCTCCACCACACTCCTCTCACGAACGGCTCTCATAGTCAGGAAGTTCTTCCTCATGTTCAGATGGAATCTCCTTTCTTGTAGTTTGAAGCCATTGTTCCATTGCGTCCTAGTCTCCAAGGAAGCAGAAAACAAGCTTGCTCCCTCCTCCCTGTGGCTTCCTCTCACATATTTATACATGGCTATCATGTCTCCTCTCAGCCTTCTCTTCTTCAGGCTAAACATGCCCAGCTCCTTAAGCCGCTCCTCATAGGACTTGTTCTCCAGACCCTTGATCCTTTGAGTCTCCCTCTTCCTCTGGACACATTCCAGCTTAGAGTCAATATCTCTCTGGAATTGTGGTGCTCAGAATTGGACACAATATTCCAGGTGTGGTCTCACCAAGCGGAATAGAGCATGGGGAGCATGACTTCCCTGGACCTAGACACTAGGCTCCTCTTGATGCAGGCCAAAATCCCATTGGCTTTTTTTGCCGCCACATCACATTCCTGGCTCATGTTCCCCTTCCTGTCCACGAGGACTCCAAGATCTTTTCCACACGTCCTGCTCTCGAGCCAGGCCTCATCGTCCCCCATTCTGTCTCTTTGCATTTCGTTTTTACTGCCTAAGTGGAGTCTCTTGCATTTGTCCCTGTTGAACTTCCTTTTGTGAGTTTTGGCCCATCATCTCTCTCATCTGTCAAGGACTCCAAGATCTTTTCCACACGTCCTGCTCTCGAGCCAGGCCTCATCGTCCCCCATTCTGTCTCTTTGCATTTCGTTTTTCCTGCCTAAGTGGAGTCTCTTGCATTTGTCCCTGTTGAACTTCCTTTTGTGAGTTTTGGCCATTCATCTCTCCAATCTGTCAAGGACTCCAAGATCTTTTCCACACATCCTGCTCTCGAGCCAGGCCTCATCGTCCCCCATTCTGTCTCTTTGCATTTCGTTTTTCCTGCCTAAGTGGAGTCTCTTGCATTTGTCCCTGTTGAACTTCCTTTTGTGAGTTTTGGCCATTCATCTCTCCAATCTGTCAAGGACTCCAAGATCTTTTCCACACATCCTGCTCTCGAGCCAGGCCTCATCGTCCCCCATTCTGTCTCTTTGCATTTCGTTTTTCCTGCCTAAGTGGAGTCTCTTGCATTTGTCAAGCACGCTTTGCCCCAGTAGGTCTCCTTTTCTCGCAGCCAAGGAGACCCTTCAGCCATTCATGGTTCCTGAATGCTCCCAGCACCACCACCAAAAGCTCGGCCAGAAAAAAGGGCTGGCAAGATGCAACCTGGCTGCCTGAAGACCCCAAGGCAGCCCTGCTTAGTCCCACTCCACCCACCCACCCAGGAATTGCTTGCCAAAGCCAGTTTCCGCACCCCTCCTTGCCTTTGTTCCGGGAGTTGGGGGGGGGGGGGGATTTTGAGATCCCAATGGAACAAAGGCTGCCCCCCCCCCGCAGTCCCCCGCCTCCAAACAGAGGTTCTGACAAAAGCAGATCTGATGTAATCAACAAAGCAAAACAGGCCTTGGCTTTGATCTCCTCGAAATTAAAGACCCAGTGTTTTGATTTGGCATTAAGGCCTGAACGAAACCAGATGTTTCTCCCCTCGCCCACCCGCCCGCCCGCCCGCCCGTGGGCACCACATCTCCAGGGCTATTGTTTGGCAAACGTTCAGGGAAACACGTTAGAATCGGCGACACCAACACCCAGCTTGCCTTTGCTCTCTCCCCGCACGGGTTCATTATCCAAACCGAGGTATAATCCGCGGGGCTTTGGGAACTTTGTGTAAAGACTTTCATGTCCAATTCCCCTTTCTTGCCTCCTCTGAGATTAAGAGCACAATTATCCAGGCTTAAGCCTGAAATAAAAGGACCTTTGCAAACGTATTATCTGGCCCGACATGTTTAATCACACCGTCTTCGGGATGGCCTTTCATGCTTCCAACCGGAGGAGGAACGCTGCCTCTTCTGAGGTTTTGCACATGAAAGGCCTTGGCAAAGGAAACAAAACAAAGAGGGATGCCGACAGAAGAAGGTGGGCTACGAGCAGGACTTAAAAGCTCGGATGCAGAGACAACGAGGAGGAGGAGGAGGAGGAGGAGGAGGAAGAAGGAGGCCTGATGCAGTTTCATCATTGCAAAGCCCGTTTAACCGGAATATTCATCCCACAAAGCCATCCCACCGCAGGCCAAGACACCAAATGGGTCCTTTCTCATGCCGACTTCCTTCCAAAACTTTGTGTTTTGTTTGTTTGTTTTGTTTACAAAAATGCACCTTAGAGGAGAGGGGAGGAGCGGGCGGAGGGAGGGCCTGCCTCTTGCCCGGGTCTCTCTCTTGCGTTCCCCGCCGGGAGGATGCGCCGCCGCCCCCCCCAGGCTCGAAGAGGCGGACGCCGGAGACGGTGAGGGAGCTGCCCCGCTGGCTCCTCTTCCTGGCTTCCTGCTTCCTTCTCGGCAGCTTACTCAGGTGAGGAGAGGAGGAGGAGGAGGAGGAGGAGGAGAGCTCCCTTTGGCCCAGCCTCAGCTCCAGGGCCTAGCTGGCATGTCACTTGTAAAGAAGGTCCTTCATCTGCAATTTTGTTTTCACAAAATGAGAACTCTCCCTTGGCAAACATGGATGAGAACATCCAGGAAAAGGAGGAGACTGACAGATCTGTTGGAACACTGTCTTTAGAGCCCATTAATACAATCAGAAATCAGAAATCAGAAGACGCTTACTTCTTGGGAGGAGAGCAATGTCCAGTCTCGATAAAATAGTGAAGAGTAGAGACATCAGACTGGCAGCAAAGATCCGCCTAGTCAAAGCCATGGTATTCCCTGTAGTCACCTACGGATGTGAGAGCTGGACCTTAGGGAAGGCTGAGCGAAGGAAGATCGATGCTTTTGAGCTGTGGTGTTGGAGGAAAGTGCTGAGAGTGCCTTGGACTGCGAGAAGATCCAACCAGTCCATCCTCCAGGAAATAAAGCCCGATAGCTCATTGGAGGGAAGGATAATAGAGACAAAGTTGAAGTACTTTGGCCACATCATGAGAGACAGCAAAGCCTAGAGAAGACAATTATGCTGGGGAAAGTGGAAGGCAAAAGGAAGAGGGGCCGACCAAGGGCAAGATGGATGGATGGCATCCTTGAAGTGACTGGACTGACCTTGAGGGAGCTGGGGGTGGTAATGGCCGACAGGGAGCTCTGGCGTGGGCTGGTCCATGAGGTCACGAAGAGTCGGAGACGACTGAACGAATGAACAACAACAAACAATACAATCATAAATAATTATCCCGAGGAATACTCTGATGACTACACAAAGCAAACAGAGGTTTTGGATATGGGGAAATTACAGACAGAAGAAGAATCACCTTCAGTTGATTTGAGTGAAACATCTTTTACTATAGCAGGTGTTTCTGAAAGTACTTTCAGAATACCTACCTCAGAGAGCTCATCAGTTTCTCAGTCCAGTGTGATAGAAAATTCCAGTTTTGACATCCCTGTAATCACTCCTGCTGAAACTGAACAGTCAGAACCTGACTGCAATCTTGGTGTGATACTTAAACTGATTCCCAGAGTGAGGCTTCCCCTCTTGTTCCTTCACCAGACAGCCTTGTAGGTCAACACATAGAAAATATCTCTTCACACAGAAAGGGAAAGACGACTAAATCAGAATTTGACCCCCAAGTTGCTGCACCTGAGCAAAAGACAGATCTAAAATCAGCACTTAATACTTCGGGTTATAACGCTGTTTGGATCCATTCGCATTTTTTCCATCGCCCTTGGGCTTGGACTCTCCTCCTCCTCTGGCGGGCCCAGCGGAGTTAGAGCGCGGCGGCTGTCCTTTGCCGGCGCCGGCCGAGGAGGAAGAGGAGGAGGAAGCGCCGCCACCGCCCAAGCCAGAGCCAGAGGGGTTGCTCTTGTCCATCCTGTCGCCCGGAGGGTTGGCCACCGTTGCTGTGGCCGCCGCAACTACCACTGCTGCTATAACCGCTGGGCTTTCCGGAGCCGGGCTCTGAAGCATCCAAAGGCACCTCCATGGTGCCACTGTGGAGACGGAGAAGAAGCGAGAGCGGGGAGCAGCTGGAGAAGGAGGTGCGAGAATATCATCTTCCGCCAGCCTCTCTCTCTCTTGCTCGGGCGGTTACTTCACGCGCCGCCATGACCACCACGACCACGTTGAAGGGGATGGACCCCAATGGACAGAGCAGCTCCAGGGTTCTTTGCCCACCAGGTGGTGGCTCCAATTTCAACTTGGGATTTGATTTACCAAAGGATCAGCAAGGAGGCAGAAGGAACAAGATGGGACCCCAGAAGAGAATCCACCTTCCTGGGCTCGAGCAACAGAACCCAAGCCCAGTGATACCGATGAAAGTTCTGAACCCCTTGGGTTGCAAAGAAGGAACTCTTCTGATGCAAACTCTGGTGACTGTGTGGAGCCAAAGGTCAGGGAAGGAGAGGCTTCTGAAAACACAGAGGTCGAAATAGACGTTGCTTCAGGCCCGAGTGAAGAGAAGCTCCCGCCGGCGGCACCCATGTCTAGCCCAGTAGCTGCAGCGCCTGTACAAAACCAAACTGCAACTGTTTGGTCTGCCCCTGACATGATAAGTAAATAAAGGGGCCCAATCCTGTTTAGATCCCGGACACTAAGCAGAGTCAGCCATGGCTTGGCCTTGGAGAGGGAAGACCAGGTGCGCGAGGCACGGTTTCAGGAGAAAGAACTGGTGAAGCCGTCCCAGAATCCTAGAGTTGGAAGAGACCTCATGGGCCATCCAATCCACCCCCATTCTGCCTAGAAGCAGGAATATTGCATTCAAATCACCCCCGACAGATGGCCATGCAGAATCTGTTTCAAAGCTCCCAAAGAAGGAGCCTCCACCACACTCTGGGGCAGAGAGTTCCACTGCTGAACGGCTCTCACAGTCAGGAAGTTCTTCCTCGTTGCAGAGCCAGTTTTAGCCCCTTTAACCGGAATATTCATCCCACAAAGCCATCCCACCGCAGGCCAAGATTCCAAATGGGTCCTTTCCCATGCCTACTTCCTTCCTAAACACACCAAAAGGACCCAATCCTGTTTAGATCACCGGGACTGTGGCGCAGCTGGCTGAATGTCAGCTGCATTAAGATCACTCTGACCAAAAAGGTTATGAGTTCGAAGCCAGCCCGGGTTGGAGTGGGTTTCCAACCAATTGTGTGTAGCCTGTTGTCGACCTTTGCAACCCGAAAGACAGTTGCATCTGTCAAGGAGGAAAATTGGGTACCACCTTAAAGTGTGGGGAGGCTAAATTAACTGATTTATGAGGCCATAAAGAAGACTCCAGCAAAAGCATTCCAGCGGGGAAGCATGCGGGGAATGCGGAAGTGCTTCACCAGCGTTGCAGATGGACGATGAAAGCCACAGCTCAAATAGCCTCTGTGTATGTCTGTATATGTTTGTATGTCAAAAATTGGCACTGAATGTTTGCCATATATATGTGTACATTGTAATCCGCCCTGAGTCCCCTGCGGGGGGAGGAAAAGGGCGGAATAGAAAAGCTGTAAATAAATAAATAAATAAATAAAATAGATCCTGGAAGCTAAGCAGAGTCAGCCATGGCTTGGTCTTGGAGAGGGAAGCCCAGGTGCACGAGGCCCTGTTTCAGGAGAAAGAACTGGTGAAGCCGTCCCAGAGTCATAGAATCCTAGAATCCTAGAGTGGAAGAGACCTCCTGGGCCATCATCCAGTCCAACCCCATTCTGCCAAGAAGCAGGAATATTGCATTCAAAGCACCCCTGACAGATGGCCATCCAGCCTCTGTTTCAAAGCTTCCAAAGAAGGAGCCTCCACCACACTCCAGGGCAGAGAGTTCCACTGCTGAACGGCTCTCACAGTTAGGAAGTTCAGATGGAATCTCCTTTCTTGTAGTTTGAAGCCATTGTTCTTTGTCCTAATCTCCATGGAAGCAGAAAACAAGCTTGCTCCCTCCTCCCTGTGGCTTCCTCTCACATATTTATACATGGCTATCATATCTCCTCTCAGCCTTTCTTCTTCAGGCTAAACATGCCCAGCTCCTTAAGCCACTCCTCATAGGCTTGTTCTCCAGACCCTTGATCATTTTAGTCACCCTCCTCTGGACACATTCCAGCTTGTCAATATCTCTCTTGAACTGTGGTGCCCAGAATTGGACACAATATTCCAGGTGTGGTCTAACCAAAGCAGAATAGAGGGGAGCATTACTTCCTTAGATCTGAACCTATGACACGTGTGTCAGCACTGACACACATGGCTATTTTTGATGACACACAGACACATGTGGCCACATACAGAGAAATACATCAGGATTAATTTAGTTATGTATGTGTTTTAAATGTGCTTCTATGTATTTCCAAGATGGATTCCACTGTGTATTAGAAATGCTGTGCAGAATGTTCATACCATGAGGCTGTGATTATGTGACCTTGAGAGAAGTAAGATAAGGTTTGCTCTTGCTGGGAACAGAAGGGAGTAGCCAGTCCCAGCAAGAAGAGAAGAGATAAGCAGATGTGAAGAGACTTTCATTTTAATGTGAAAGAGTGTGAAAGAGTCCAGGAACGAGTGCAAACCGTGGCCACAATGGATCCCAGTGTTGGGGTTCAGCCTGGGTGTGAACCTGAACCTGATTCTCTGATTGTATTTCCTGATGCTAATGATAATGTTGATTCTGAGGTCAGTGTAGAAGAAACTCCTGCAGGCTTGGAAAGTGAAGGTACACATTCTCATGAGAATGTTTCAGAGCCAAGCAGTGATAGCTCTCCAGAGCAGCTAACACCTGGGATCCTTAATGAGGATAGAAGAGGACAGATTTGGCAAAACAGGGGTGAATCACAGAGTTTGCGAAGGTCAGCCAGATTGAAAGAAAAAGAAACAAGGGCTTCAAAGTCTGGAGGCGTGTCACGAAACAGATTCCTCGGCTTTAAGTGCCTCTCGCCGGGTTGACTCTTTAGAACAGGCATCATTTTAGACTGAGGCATTACCTTGGCAGATCTCCCGTTTCCCGTGGCCTTCATCCCAAGAGGCTTCTAGTGCTCCAAGTACGGTTAGTGGATTGCTAACAGGTTCCAGGATTTTACAGTGTCGCTTTTGGTTTTTGATCTAGTTCATGGATATTTCTGATTGCTGATTTTTACTGTGGCTTTTTGACTTTGCATTTTCCTCTATTTTACAACCATTTTTCATCAATAAAAAGGGATTGATTTTTCCCACAGTCAAGTGTGGTGGATTGTTGTCTTAGGGTCTCGTTTCCTGCTCTAGGTTACAACACCCAGGAGCGTTACTTACAGAGGCCAGGGCCTTCCCGAGGGCGTCCCCCGTCTGAGAGCTTCCGGTCGCGTTGCCTCTGTTGACTGGAAAGGAAGGGCACAGAATGGGGATTAAATGTCAGAGGTCAGTGCTGCATGGCCAACTGGAGAACGATGCTCTCCCAAAGGAATGGCTGTGAGGGAAGTGAAGGTCGCCAACTCTCTGGGCCTCAGGGCCAACTTCCATGGCCACTAATATCCCATACAGGGGCTCCAAAGGCTTACCCAGAACACTGCTGTTGTCGGATCCATTGACCGGTGGGGTGTGGGAGGCTGCCGCGTAGGACGAACCACTGCTGCCGCCTCTGTGGAAGCTGGACATTGGAGGAAGGCTGGTGCTGAGATCCGAGGGCGAGACCGAGTGCGGGGGGTAGCTCTAGGAAGAAGCAGAAATGGGGAAGGAGGGTGGGGGAGTCACTTTCCTCATTCACCTGCCTGCCTCAAGCCTGAATTACAGGTTAAAAGCTTCAGGTGTGCAACTAAGGAGGAAAATAACACCTTAAACCACTGTTTCTCAACCTGGGGGTCAGGACCCCTGGGAGGGGGTTGCAAGGGGGAGCCAGGGGGGTTGCCAAAGACCACCAGAAAAGAGCTGATCCCTAATCCATCTAAAACACAGACATGTGCTTTTCATCTCAAGAACAGACAAGCATCCCAAGCTCTGAGGATGATTACCTGGGAAGGAATCCCAGGGGAGCATTGCAGTGCACCCACATACCTGGGAGTCACTCTGGACCTACAAAAAGTACTGCCTGAATATCAAGCAAAAAGTGAAACAATATCATACGAAAGCTGTCTGGCACAACCTGGGGATCACAACCAGACACAGTGAAGACATCTGCCCTTGCGCTATGCTACTCTGCTGCTGAGTACGCATGCCCAGTGTGGAACACATCTCACCACGCTAAAACAGTGGATGTGGCTCTTAATGAAACATGCTGCATTATCACGGGGTGCCTGCGCCCTACACCACGGGAGAAATTACACATCTCACCACACTAAAACAGTGGCTGGAGCTGTCTTCATAGACCTGTCAGCAGCCTATGAGACTGTGAACCACCACTGCCTCCTCCCGAGAAAAATGTATAGTATCACAAAGGACGACCAGCTCACCCGCCTCATAGGAAACCTGCTACAAAACAGGAGCTTCTTTGTTGAGTTCCAGGGCCAGAGAAGCAGATGGCGGACACAGAAGAACGGCCTGCCTCAGGGGAGCGTGCTTGCTCCATCCATGTTCAACATCTACACAAATGACCAGCCACTGCCAGAAGGGACAGAGAGTTCATCTATGCTGATGATCGTGCCATCACCGCTCAAGCAGGGAGCTTTGAGATGGTTGAACAGAAGCTCTCCGAAGCTCTAGGTGCTCTTACTGCCTATTACAGGGAAAACCAGCTGATCCCTACCCATCTAAAACACAGACATGTGCTTTTCATCTCAAGAACAGACAAGCATCCCGAGCTCTGAGGGTCACCTGGGAAGGAATCCCACTGGAGCATTGCAGCGCACCCAAATACCTGGGAGTCACTCTGGACCATGCTCTGACCTACAAGAAGCACTGCCTGAACATAAAGCAAAAAGTGGGTGCTAGAAACAATATCATACGAAAGCTGACTGGCACAACCTGGGGATCACAACCAGACACAGTGAAGACATCTGCCCTTGCGCTATGCTACTCTGCTGCTGAGTATGCATGCCCAGTGTGGAACACATCTCACCACACTAAAACAGTGGATGTGGCTCTTAATGATACATGCCGCATTATCACAGGGTGTCTGTGCCCTATACCACTGGAGAAATTACACTGTTTAGCTGGTATTGCACCACCTGACATCTGGAAGTAGCAGCCAATAGTGAAAGGACCAAGGCAGAGACATCTCCAGCTCATCCCGTTTGGATATCAGCCACCATGTCAACGACTTAAATCAGGAAATAGTTTTCTAAGATCTACAGAGACACTCGCTGGAACACCTCAGCAAGCGAGAGTCCAAAAGTGGCAGGCTCAAACCCAGAACCTCAACCAATGGCTCATACCAAATGAGAGACTCCCCCCTGGGCACACAAAGGACTGGGCGACTTGGAAGGCGCTGAACAGACTGCGCTCTGGCCCCACGAGATGCAGAGCCAACCTCAAGAAATGGGGCCACAAAGTGGAATCCTCGACATGCGAGTGCGGAGAAGAGCAAACCACTGACCACCTGCTGCAATGCACCCTGAGCCCTTCTTCCACATGATGCACAAGGGAGGACCTTCTTGCGGCAACACCAGAGGCACTCCAAGGGGCCAGAGACTGGTCAAAGGACATTTAATCAACTACCAAGCTTGCAAACTTTGTGTTTTGTCTGTTTGTTTGTTTGTTAGAAATGTAATACAATTGATTGGTTGCCCTGACACGACAAATAAAAAATATTATTATTATTATTATTATTATTATTATTATTTTAATTTATTCTTCCACCAATTCAAGACTTAAGAGTCGAGCGAAACTGAGAGTAAGTACCCTGTTTCTTTGCTTGTTCCCCACAATCTAAACCAGGCATGGTCACACACTGGCCCTCCAGGTGAAAGGAAAGAGTCTGAGGCTGTTAGGAATTGTGGGAGTCGAAGTCCAAAACACTTGGAGGGAGGGCAATGTTCACTCCTACCTGAAAACCTATTGGCCTTCCCCTGACCCTAGGATGATGGGGTGCCGGGTGTGGGTCTTACCAGGCGCTCGTGAGCGTGTCGGCTGGCAAAGCTGCTGGCGTGTGCGGCGTGGGAAACGGCGGCTCCTTCCAGCATGGCTCCGTATCCCGCTTGGCTCACCCCGTTGGAAGGGCTCCAAAGGTCAGAGGCCGCGTGGGTCCCATCTTGATTTGGTCCAATGGGGAAGGGGAGGGGAAGGAAAAAGAGAGGCACTTAGGCAGAGGCAACATTTTGGTCCATATGTCAAAAAGCACATGTTTTTGCACAACACTGGCGTTTCCCCGCTTCTGCTTAGAATCCTAGAATCCAAGAGTTGGAAGAGACCTCCTGGGCCATCATCCAGTCCAACCCCATTCTGCCAAGAAGCAGGAATATTGCATTCAAAGCACCCCTGGCAGATGGCCACCCAGCCTCTGCTTCAAAGCTTCCAAAGAAGGAGCCTCCACCACACTCCCCCTGGGGCAGAGAGTTCCACTGCTGAACATAGAATCCTAGAGTTGGAAGAGACCTCCGGGCCATCATCCAGTCCAACCCCATTCTGCCAAGAAGCAGGAATATTGCATTCAAAGCACCCCTGGCAGATGGCCACCCAGCCTCTGCTTCAAAGCTTCCAAAGAAGGAGCCTCCACCACACTCCCCCTGGGGCAGAGAGTTCCACTGCTGAACATAGAATCCTAGAGTTGGAAGAGACCTCCTGGGCCATCTAGTCCAACCCCTTGCCAAGAAGCAGGAATATTGCATTCAAATCACCTCTGACAGATGGCCATCCAGCCTCTGCTTCAAAGCCTCCAAAAAAGAAGCCTCCACCACACTCCCTCTGGGGCAGAGAGTTCCACTGCTGAACAGCTCTCACAGTCATAGAATCTTAGAGTTGGAAGAGACCTCCTGGGCCATCATCCAGTCCAACCCCATTCTGCCAAGAAGCAGGAATATTGCATTCAAAGCACCCCTGACAGATGGCCATCCAGCCTCTGTTTCAAAGCTTCCAAAGAAGGAGCCTCCACCACACTCCCTCTGGGGCAGAGAGTTCCACTGCTGAACATAGAATCCTAGAATCCTAGAGTTGGAAGAGACCTCCTGGGCCATCATCCAGTCCAACCCCATTCTGCCAAGAAGCAGGAATATTGCATTCAAAGCACCCCTGACAGATGGCCACCCAGCCTCTGTTTCAAAGCTTCCAAAGAAGGAGCCTCCACCACACTCCGGGAAGGCAGAGAGTTCCACTGCTGAACGGCTCTCACAGTCAGGAAGTTATAGAATCCTAGAATCCAAGAGTTGGAAGAGACCTCCTGGGCCATCATCCAGTCCAACCCCATTCTGCCAAGAAGCAGGAAATCATTCAATGCACCCCTGACAGATGGCCATCCAGCCTCTGTTTCAAAGCTTCCAAAGAAGGAGCCTCCACCACATTCCGGGGCAGAGAGTTCCACTGCTGAACGGCTCTCACAGTCAGGAAGTTCTTCCTCATGTTTACTTATTTATTATTTTATTTACTTTACTTATATACCGCTGTTCTCAGCCCGAAGGCAACTCACAGCGGTTCACAACAAATAAGAACAGCAAAAATTCAATGCTACAGTGTAAAAACAGTTAACAACCTAACATATTACATAATTAATAAACAATTACTACAATAACCATTCTATAACGGCTCTCACAGTCAGGAAGTTCTTCCTCATGTTCAGGTGGAATCTCCTCTCTTGTAGTTTGAAGCCATTGTTCCATTGCGTCCTAGTCTCCAAGGAAGCAGAAAACAAGCTTGCTCCATCCGCCTCCCTGTGGCTTCCTCTCACATATTTATACATGGCTCTCATCATATCTCCTCTCATCCTTCTCTTCTTCAGGCTAAACATGCCCAGCTCCTTAAGCCGCTCCTCATAGGGCTTGTTCTCCAGACCCTTGATCATTTAGTCGCTCTCCTCTGGACACATTCCAGCTTGTCAATATCTCTCTTGAATTGTGGTGCCCAGAATTGGACACAATATTCCAGGTGTGGTCTAACCAGCAGAATAGAGCATGGGGAGCATGACTTCCCTAGATCTAGACACTGGGCTCCTCTTGATGCAGGCCAACATCCCATTGGCTTTTTTTTTGCCACTGCATTACATTCCTGGATCATGTTCCCCTTCCTCCCCACAAGGACTCCCAAGATCTTTTTCACACGTACTGCTCTCAAACCAGGAGTCCCCCATTCTGTATCTTTGCATTTCATTTTTTCTGCCTAAAGTGGAGTATCTTGCATTTGTCACTGTTGAACTTCATTTTGTTAGTTTTGGCCCATCTCTCTAATCTGTCAAGATCGTTTTGAATTCTGCTACTGTCCTCTGGACTATTGGCTCTCCCTCCCAATTTGGTGTCGTCTGCAAACTTGATGATCATGCCTTCTAGCCCTTCATCTAAGTCATTAATAAAGATGTTGAACAGGACCGGGCCCAGGACGGAACCCTCCGGCACTCCACTCGTCACTTCTTTCCAAGATGAAGAGGAAGCATTAGTGAGCACCCTCTGGGTTCGTCCATTTAACCAATTCCAGATCCACCTCACCGTAGTTTTGCCTCGCCCACGTTGGACTAGTTTCCTTGCCAGAAGGTCATGGGGGACCTTCTCAAAGAAGGCCTTCCTGGAATCCAGGCACGCTTTTACCACCTGTTCTGCAGATAGCCCTACCAAGATGGTGCTGACAAGGCATCAAGCTCCTCTGATAATTATGAAGGAGAGAGAAGACTCGGCTCGGGGCAAATGCTTTCTATACAGAAGCACCAAGGCTCAAACAGGTTGCTCTCAGGAGCAAACGGCAAAGGTCCTTTCCTGTTGAAGCCTGGTCTGAGGAGGAGGAGGAGGAGGACCCTTTGGTGGGGCCTTGTGCTCCTGAATTGGAGCCCACCCCCACTGCAATGCCTCAGACAGAAAGCTTTACAGGCAGATCTGCTTTGAGTGGGGATGTTTCATGTGAAATGCTTCCCGAGGCTCTCCCCAACCCTGGGAAAGATGTGCGGGAGGTGGAAGAAGCCGGCTGGTTGCCCCTAACTCCATGTCTTCAGTTTGGTGAGATAGTGCTAAGCAGAGGCAATTAAGTTTTTCTCAGTGTTTGAAAGATAAACAGAGTGATTCCAGGTGTCTGTTAGATAATGCCTCCATGGGAATCAATTGTTTCTTAATCCAACCCCTTGGATTGCTGTGTGAGAGTAACTTTGCATTTTCCGAAGAAAGTCATCTGCATGGTGGGATTAGATCTTAATTTTAACTAGGAGACACTAATGAGATATGTTTTATTGAGGGTTGTTGTAGGTTTTTTCGGGCTATATGGCCATGTTCTAGAGGCATTATCTCCTGACGTTTCAGCGAGGATGTTAACTGGTGCTCCTTACAGAGAGAGGTCAACCCTCCTGTTCAAGGAGCTCCACTGGCTGCCGTTTATCTTCCGGTCCCAATTTAAGGTGCAGGTGCTTACCTTCAAAGCCCTAAACGGTTTGGGACCATCTTACCTGCGTGACCGCATCTCCGTCTATGAACCCACACGTTCACTTCGCTCATCCGGAGAGGCCCTGCTCGTGATCCCACCTGCGTCGCAAGTGCGCTTGGTGGGGACGCGAGACAGGGCCTTTTCTGTGGTGGCCCCCCGTCTCTGGAACACCCTCCCAAAAGATCTTAGACAGACCCCTACCCTGGCAGTCTTTAGAAAGAACTTGAAGACCTGGCTGTTCCGATGTGCCTTCTCAGATTAGGAAATCTCTCCAATACCAAGTCCCAGAAGCACTTTAGTAGAACTAAGATTGCTGCACACTGCACACTGCACTTACCCTATAATCCTTACATACCACCTGTCACATCAGCACTTTTAATCCTGTACCCATTACTCTGGCCCGGCCCAGTTTTATAGTGTCTTGATGTATTGTTTATTGCTTGTTGTTTATACTGCTTAACTGTTTTTAATTTGCTTTAGGTGTTGTATTGTTATGTTGTGTAGGGCTTTGTAGGTAAGCACCTGCACCTTAAATTGGGCTCGGAAAATAAACGGCAGCCAGTGGAGCTCCTTGAACAGGAGGGTTGACCTCTCTCTGTAATGGGCCCCAGTTAACATCCTGGCCGCTGCCCGTTGGACCAGTTGGAATTTCCGAGCCGTTTTCAAGGGCAGCCCCACGTAGAGCGCATTACAGTAGTCCAATCTAGAGGTGACCAAGGCATGGACCACCCCGGCCAGATCAGCCTTCGCGAGGTATGGTCGCAGTTGGCGCACGAGTCTCAATTGTGCAAATGCCCTCCCGGACACCGCCGACACCTGAGCCTCAAGCGTAAGCGATGAATCCAATAGGACTCCCAAACTGCGGACCTGTGGCTTCAGGGGGAGTGTAACCCCGTCCAGCACAGGTTGCCACCCTATACCCCGGTCAGGTTTTCGATCGACCAGAAGGACCTCTGTCTTGTCGGGATTGATCTTCAGCTTGTTCGTCCTCATCCAGATAGACACAAGGCACTCATCTAGCACCCGAGAGGCCTCCTTGGAATTGGGTGGAAAGAGTAGTAGAGTTGTGTGTCATCTGCGTAGAGATGGCACCCAACTCCAAAACTCCGGATGACCTCTCCCAGCGGTTTCATGTAGATGTTAAAAAGCATGGGAGACAGAATAGAGCCTTGCGGGACCCCACAGGTCAAAGGCCAGGGGTCCGAGCAGGCGTCTCCCAGCTTCACCATCTGGGATCGACCCTCCAGGAAGGACCGGAGCCACGACAAAACCGTGCCCCCGAGACCCATCCCAGAGAGTCGTCCCAGAAGGATACCATGATCGATGGTATCGAAAGCCGCTGAGATGTCCAAGAGAACCAACAGAGTCACACTCCCCCTGTCCAGCTCTCTACGGAGGTCATCCACCAAGGCCACCAAGGCTGTCTCGGTGCCGTGACCAGGCCTGAAACCAGACTGTGACTGATCTAGGTAGTTGTTGTCATCTAGAAAACCCTGGAGCTGGGAGGTGACCACCCGCTCCAGCACCTTGCCCAAAAAGGGGAGGTTGGAGATCGGTCTGTAATTGTTCAGCACTGTGGAGTCAAGGGAAGCCTTTTTGAGGAGTGGGCGAACCACAGCCTGTTTCAAATGAGATGGAAAACTCCCCTGCTCTTGCAAGCTCGGGGCTTCTGGGATGTGAATCAACCCCCGTATCACCTGGCCCCCGCTTTTGCTGCTACACCCCAATGTTGTCTCGTGAGCCTTGTCTCCTCCCTCGTGAAGTATCCAAGAGGAAGAGTTCTGGCTCCAGGGCCCACTTGTCAGCTTTTACAACCCAACACATGATAGGGATGATCCCGAATTTGATATGGGTTTACACAGCCTTTACTCCCTTCCCAAATTCTAACCGGTTCACTCACTTGCTATGCTCGTCTTGAAAAAAGAAAATTATTATTATTATTATTAATATTAACTTTATTTGTACCCCGCTAGCATCTCCCGCAGGACTCGATGCGGCTTACAAAAGCAGCTCTGAGGATGCCTGCCATCGATGTGGACGAAACGTTAGGAGAGAATGCTTCTGTAACATGGCCATACAGTCCAGAAGACTCACAGCAAGCCAATGACTCTGGCCATGAAAGCCTTCAACCACAAAAATAGCTCTGTTTGTAATGTCTCACCTTGTAAAAGGAAAGTGCTGGCAAACATACTGCTGGGTGGCTTTGGAGACGGGTAGCCTGGAGATTCCCGATTAAAGTCATCTGAATTTGGGGACGGCGCGTAGACCTAAAACCAAGGAAATGGAGGAGAAAGAGAAAGGAGAAATATGTCAACATTGCTGGAAAAGCCCAAACCTAAAGAAAGCAGAGCATCAAAGAGATGAAGCCCACGCTTCACGGAGTCACAAGCTTTTCAGAAGTATACTAGCCATCACCTGCCACGCGTTGCTGTGCCCACATGGGCGTTCTGTGTGGGAGGTTTGGCCTAATTCTATCGTTGGTGGGGTTCAGAATGCTCTTTGATTGGAGGTGAACTATAAATCCCAGCAACTACAACTCCCAAATGTCAAGATTCTATTTTCCCCAAACTCCACCAGTGTTCACATTTTGACATGATCTCTGGATTAGGTGAACTACAACTCCAAAACCAAAGGACACTGCCCACCAAACCCTTCCAGTATTTTTGTTCGTCCCGGGAGAACTGTGTGCCAAGTGGCCCAATTCTATCGTTGGTGGGGTTCAGAATGCTCTGTGATTGTAGGTGAACTATAAACCCCAGCAACTACAACTCCCAAATGTCAAGATTCTATTTTCCCCAAACTCCACCAGTTCACATTTGGGCATATTGAGTATTCATGCCAAGTTTGGTCCAGATCCATCATTGTTTGAGTCCACAGTGATCTCTGGATGTAGGTGAACTACAACTCCAAAACCAAAGGACACTGCCCACCAAACCCTTCCAGTATTTTCTGTTGGTCATGGGAGTTCTGTGTGCCAAGTTTGGTTCCATTCCATCGTTGGTGGGCTCAGAATGCTCTTTGATTGTAGGTGAACTATAAATCCCAGCAACTACAACTCCTAAATGACAAAATCAATTTTTTGAGTGAAGGACATACATAGGGTTGTTAGGTGTCTTGTGTCCAAATTTGGTGTCAATTCGTCCAGTGGTTTTTGAGTTCTGTTAATCCCACAAACAAACATTACATTTTTATTTATATAGACTAGCTGTACCCGCCACGCATTGCTGTGGCCAACCTCCCCCCCCTTTCTCTCCTTCCCTCCTTTTCTCCTTCCTTCCCTCTTTTTCATTCCCTTCTTCTTTCTTCCTTCTCTACCTGTTTCTTTTCTCGCTTCCTTTGCTCTTTGGTTCCATTCTGTCTTGTCTCTTTCCTTCCTTCCTTCCTTCCCTCCCTCTTTCTCTCTTTCGTTCCTTCTCTCCTTCCTTCCCTCTTTCACTTTTTATTTCATTCTCTCCCTCCTTCTCTCCTTCCTTCCTTCTCTACACTTCTTTCTTTCCTTCTTTCTCTCCTTCCCGCCTTCTTTCCCTTCTTTCCCTCTTTCTTTCTCTCCCTCCTTCTCTCCTTCCTTTTCTCTCCTTCCCTCTTTCTCTCCCTCCTTCTCTCCTCCCTTCCTTCTCTGCCCTTCTTTTTTTTCCTTCCTTTTCTCCTTCCCTACTTTCCCTTCTTCTCTCCCTCTTTCTCTCCCTCCTTCCTTCTCTACTTTTCTTTTTCTCCTTCTTTCTCTACTTCCCCCCTTCCTCCTCTACCTTTCTTTCTTTCTTTCTTTCCTGGGAGTTGTAGTTGCTGCGATGTAGATGCTGCGACCTACAATCAAGGAGTATTCTGAACTCCACCAACGATAGAATTGTGCCAAACTTCCCACATGGAATCCCCATGACCATCAGAAAATACTGTGTTTTCTGATGGTCTTTGGCGACCCCTCTGACACCCCCTCAACCCCTTCAGGGGTCCTGACCCCCAAGTTGAAAAACCCTGATCTAGGGGGTTTCCCTGGTTTTTCTACCCAATGGGATGCTTCATAGACTGAGTGATCCGCAACCAAGAAGTGACAGCCACCTGTTTTTGCCCAAACCTGGCCCAATGAAAAGTGCAAGGAGCAGGGGCGTCTGGCGGGAGGGAGCGAGGGAGGGGGGCCCCAAAGCAGGGCTTGCAAAACCGTTGCTGCAGAAACATCAAGCTGCGCTCGAGCCCTGCCTGGATCTGGGAGATCAAAGGATTCTTGCGGCAAGCGCGCCACTGATGTGCTCTCCAAGACTTCATGAGCTCCAGATGCGAGGAAGCTGGCTGCCAACCCCATAAAAAGAGCAAGTTTCCCTTTGTTGCCATCAGAGCCGCCCCCAAATGGAAACCAGGCCCTCGGATGATCACCTGCAGGTGAAGGCCGCCTCCCTCCCCACTTCATCACAGGTTTCATTTTGGGTTGCAGAACAACGTCCAAAGCACAAACGGGAGATTGCCACCGAGGAGAGGGTGAGAGGAAGGCACCCAGAGCCAGGCTCAGCGTTACACCTGGGCGCAGGTGTAAGTTCCTCTGGGCTATGGGAGGGGTCCCAATCCAAGGCAGCCCCTAAGCCTGGCTCTTCTGGGCTTTCAGTGGTTTCAGTGGAAAAAACAGACCCCTGTCTGATCCCACAGCAAGCTGGCTTCAGGAAAGGCAAAAGCAAGGCGCTGGCTGCTGGAGCTGATGAACAACTGCACTGCATCCTGTCAGATCCCCAAAATCTGGAGGAAAGCAAGAGTCATCGCCATCTTGAAGCCAGGCAAAGACCGTAATGACCCAAAAAGCTACAGACCAATCTCCCTGTTGTGCCACCTCTACAAAGTTCTGGAGAGACTTATTTTGCATAGAATTATGGAAAAAATAGACCCCTGTCTGATCCCACAGCAAGCTGGCTTCAGGAAAGGCAAGCTGCACATCGCAAGTGCTGAACCTGACTCAGCACATAGAAGATGGCTTTGAAAGGCAGCAGGTCACAGGAGCTGTCTTCATAGACCTGTCAGCAGCCTATGAGACTGTGAACCACCGCCTCTTCCTCTTCACAAAGGACGACCACCTCACCCGCCTCAGAGGAAACCTGCTACAAAACAGGAGCTTCTTTGTTGAGTTCCAGGGCCAGAGAAGCTGTTGTGCCACCTCTACAAAGTTCCGGAGAGACTTATTTTGCATAGAATTACGGAAAAAATAGACCCCTGTCTGATCCCACAGCAAGCTGGCTTCAGGAAAGGCAAAAGCTGCACATCGCAAGTGCTGAACCTGACTCAGCCCATAGAAGATGGCTTTGAAAGGCAGCAGATCACAGGAACTGTCTTCATAGACCTGTCAGCGGCTTATGAGACTGTGAACCACGCCTCCTCCTGAGAAAAATGTATAATATCACAAAGGACGACCACCTCACCCGCCTCATAGGAAACCTGCTACAAAACAGGAGCTTCTTTGTTGAGTTACAGGGCCAGAGAAGCAGATGGCGGAAACAGAAGAACGGCCTGCCTCAGGGGAGCGTGCTTGCTCCATCCATGTTCAACATCTACACAAATGACCAGCCACTGCCAGAAGGGACAGAGAGTTTCATCTATGCTGATGATCGTGCCATCACCGCTCAAACAGGGAGCTTTGAGATGGTAGAACAGAAGGTCTCTGAACCTCTAGGTGCCCTTACTGCCTATTACAGGGAAAACCAGCCGATCCCTAATCATATATCATATATATAATATCACAAAAGACAACCACCTCACCCACCTCATAGGAAACCTGCGACAAAACAGGAGCTTTTTTGTTGAATTCCAGGGCCAGAGAAGCAGATGGTGGAAACAGAAGAACGGCCTGCCTCAGGGGAGCGTGCTTGCTCCATCCATGTTCAACATCTACACAAATGAACAGCCACTGCCAGAAGGGACGGAGAGCTTCATCTATGCTGATGATCGTGCCATCACCGCGCAAGCAGGGAGCTTCGAGATTGTTGAACAGAAGCTCTCCAAACTCTAGGTGCCCTTACTGCCTATTAGAGGGAAAACCAGCTGATTCCTAATCCATCTAAAACACAGACATGTGCCTTTCACCTTAAGAACAGACAAGCATCCCGAGCTCTGAGGATGATTACCTGGGAAGGAATCCCACTGGAGCATTGCAGTGCACCCAAATCCCTGGGAGGAGTCACTCTGGACCGTGCCCTGACCTACAAGAAGCACTGCCTGAACATCAAGCAAAAAGTGGGTGCTAGAAACAATATCATAGGAAAGCTGACTGGCACAACCTGGGGATCACAAGCAGACACAGTGAAGACATCTGCCCTTGAACTCTGCTACTCTGCTGCTGAGTACGCATGCCCAGCGTGGAACACATCTCACCACGCTAAAACAGTGGATGTGGCTCTTAATGAGACATGCCGCATTATCACGGGGTGCCTGCGCCCTACACCACTGGAGAAATTACACTGCTTAGCCGGTATTGCACCACCTGACATCTGCCGAGAAGTAGCAGCCAATAGTGAAAGGACCAAGACAGAGACACCTCCAGCTCATCCCTTGTTTGGGTATCAGCCAGCATGTCAACAACTTAAATCTAGGAACAGTTTTCTAAGATCGACAGAGATACTTGCTGGAACATCTCAGCAAGCAAGAGTCCAAAAGTGGCAGGCTCAAACCCAGATACCATATGAGACTCCCCCCTGGGCACATAGAGGACTGGGCGACTGGGAAGGCGCTGAACAGACTGCGCTCTGGCCCCACGAGATGCAGAGCCAACCTCAAGAAATGGGCCACAAAGTGGAATAATCCATGACATGCGAATGTGGAGAAGATCAACCCACTGACCACCTGCTGCAATGCACCCTGAGCCCTGCCACATGATGCACAAGGGAGGACCTTCTTGCGGCAACACCAGAGGCACTCCACGGGGCCAGATACTGCTCAAAGGACATTTAGTCAACTACCAAGCTTGCCAACTTTGTATTTTGCCTGTTTGTTTGCTTTGTTCTGTTAGAAATGTAATACAGTTGACTGGTTGCCCTGACACGACAAAATAATAATAATAAAAATCTATGTATGGTGAGGGAAGCGCACCAAAATGAGAACCCATTTTAGGCTTGGGCTACACAGGAATGACTTCCTGTTCCCTGCTGATGTTGCAAAGTGTTCTGTGTCTGTGTTGCAAAGTGCTAAAAGGGGCAAATATTTTGATTATTAGTTTTTTTTTCCAAACAAAAGCACTGTGAGCAATGTTTATTATTGTGCCCGCGCAGCCTTTTATTCCCCCGCCTCTCCTTTGCTA